CGCTCCCAGGACAAATGTCAGTTATTTATAAAGTGTCAAAAACAAGTTCTGACTCTAATTTTAACTTTCTACATACTGATTGTTAGCAGCACCACACATGTTGCCAAAGACTCCAGCTGCCTTCTTTTAGTCATTTTCCAAGCAATACATACACTCAAAATGTTCTGATTTGGCAGCCAGAGCCTGAATGCTAATATGTAGAACAAAGTGTATTATATATTTATTGTAAATAACTGTGTTCACACATCTATGGACATGCATATAGGCTTCTGCATGGATGCACATACACAAACAAATTTTATATTCCATCCAGCTGGAAAGTAGAACATATTACATTGTAGAGAATACCAGAGTAGATACACAAGGTCTGGAACTTGGCTAGTCTGTCTTATGAAGACTGCATAGAGTCCATTTTCCATTTGTTTTGGTGCAATCTCCTTAGAGCATTTTAAGCAGCTGGAAGTCAACACTACATATTTTGTTCAGCTAGAAGCAAATCTGAATTTTTAAGTCTTTGAACTCTAACCTCTTAGTTGGATGGTTCTAAAAATACTGAGTGTGCTATTGGTATATGGGTCCACCAAAACAGCTTTACACAATGTTTTTATATGGAGTTCCCTTAAAAAAATCTTATTTTACCTGTCACTCAGAAGAAAGAGGTACTCCTTCATTTAAAAATATCATAAATTTGTTACTGATTTTTAAATTACAAAATGGTGTTTATAACTTGAACTGTTAAGTTCCGTGAGTGCTGTCAATAGATTTAAATGACTTTTCCCTTGAGTATGAAACGGGTAGATGTGACTCAAAGGTTGGTCCAGACTCAAAGAAGTGAATTACAGGCAGCTGAGTCCTACATTTGATGGAAGAACTCTTCAAATTCAGAGGCTTAAAAATGCCTGTATTATATACATAGATATTAATATCTAAACTCTTGAAATCAATGGGACTCCAGAAGGAAAAACCATACTTGCTTGGAACAGACTAGTATAGTAGAGATGAATCATTTTATCTAAACATAACCTTCCATTAGGTGCTACAAAAGTAGACATAACTTCTCTTCAAGGATTTTCTAAAAATGTCTGTATACAAATGTTCCGACAGACCTGCGATCAACTGTCACATCTTTAACATTTGATGCATTCTTGAGGATTTCTGCAAGCAGAGAATGGATAGCACTCTGTTTTAGGCCTCTAGAAGTCACCTGGAGCTATACAATGGGAGTACATTACCTTAAAAGAAATCCAGATAATCTTTTACGAAAACATTCTTCCAGGATGCAAATCAAAGAAGACTACAGGTGGGTTTAGAAATCTATTAGCCTTGTCTGCTGGGAAACTTGGCTATTCAGTCTCTTTTATACTTCTGGTTCTGAGTAATGCTTTCACTTCTGGTCATCTGAAAACAAATACCCCTGTATATTTCCATGAGATCAGTACAGATGCATTCTCATAGTTCAGTGCAGATTGCCTGACATTCTGCTGAAAGTGTAATTGCTGAATCATCACTGCATGTTCATTGTGACTAAATCCCTATTACCTTTTGAAAAACATGACTTATTTTGAAGGACACAAAAGGTATTTATTATTGTAACAGCTTCTTGGCCTATGTGGTTATCCCATATCTGAGATTCTGCAGACTGTTTCTGTTGGACAAGAAGCTAATGATAAGAACAGAGGATCTCTGAAGAGAATGTATGAAGATCTGATTTTGAGCTTCTAGGAGTATCTGAACAACATTGACTGCTTTTACTTGTAGTTTCACTAGGTTTCAGTTCTAAATGTATGGATTTTTCTTCTAGCTAGCAATAGCTATTTCAGAATGATATTTCAGGCTGTATTTCATGTTTTCCTACTCTTTTTTTCCCCCCCATTTCTTATGTTTCTCTTGTTCCTCCCTTACACAAAGATAGGTATTTCCAGAAATCATTTCCTCCAGGCGTTTAAAATCACTGCTCATGTGTAACTTTGAGTGATTACACAAGTTTGCAGTGTTAATTCAAGCCTCTCTTTTTTTTTTTTTTTTAATTTACCTAGAAGATATTTGTTTCAGTATCCTAATTTATCTTGACAAATGTATGTTACATATTCTGTTGCAGGTTGGAAGAAAAAACACCATCTGGACCACCAGCTCAAATTTAACATCACAAAAATTCAGTTTTCGGTTTCTGTTTCAGATATTATGCCTCACCCCTCTGTCCAGACCAGAAACCTCACTGTAACATCAGATTCCTTTTTGTCCTATATGCAGGTTTCAGATCTGTCCAACAAGTCTATGAATCATCTCTTCCCTGTGCACTGACCACCCATCTGCATAAAACCTTACAAGATATACTTTCAAAAGCATATCAGTTCTGGACTCCAAAAGAAAGTGTGGGAAGGAGAAAAATTATGCTTGGGAATTGTCAAGTTACATGACTGAGGAGGGTTTGTGTGAGGCCAAAAATTAGACAGCAATATCTGCAAACCAAAGAGGTTATGCAGATCTATTGTAGGCAAACTCTCTGCTTTATGTCTATTCTGACCTTTGCATTTGCTCAGGTGCTTCATTGTCATACTGCTTGCTGATGAATACATTCAGAAGGGGTTAAGATGTTTCTTCAGTATTCTTAGATAAGAAACCAAATTTGTGTTTGAGTCCCTTGAGCAAACACCTGAAAGCCCCGAGAGACAACTTCCAGGCAGCTTTCCCTATTTCCCTAGCCATCTCTCAAAGATTTTTCCCTCCATGTTTTTGCTTACACCACTATTCACCTCTTTCTTCTTCTATATTCCCTTTGCTTAGATCTCACCTGAGTTGGAAACAAATGCTTTAACTCCAACTGTAGTCTGGCCGATCTCCTTCCCAAACTCCCACTAAGCTCTAATTACCAGTCCAGTCTCTGGCTCTATCCTTAAATAATCTATAAAGCATCCAAAGCATGTCTTGATCTTTTCTTCTTACCGTGCTTCACACAACTGCCACTAGCATATGCATGCTTCAACACTCTGCCTCACTGGCTGTGCGTGCCTTTGTTTCACTTACAGGGAGGCAGAACGTTGTTCCAAAGATGACCAAGTTTAGATACCCATGCTTTTGTTCCCCAGTGGGCTGAGAGGCTAGGACTTGACTGTGGGAATCACAAAGCAGAAAAATACACAGTACTGATATTTTAAAATGAGACAGTTCAGCCAGACAGTGGCAGTTTCCTCTTTTTTTTTTTCTGGCCATGACTCAGACTAAGCCAGAATTGCAGAATGTGTAATGGAAATTGCAAATTCAATGGCTATAGGCCAGTAAAATTTGTGACATGGTCAGTGAGAACGCCCCACTCGTCTACGGCAGATCTATTCTTTGCAAAGCCTTTCTGTGTTTTGCATGATAAGAATAAAAACCAGAAAAATAAAAGCTTTTCTAAATGACCCCAAAACCACAACTTCCCAGCATAGTTGAGATCCTGCTGGATAGTGGTAATACTTTTGGACAACGTGATGTTGAAGCTAACACAATGTTGTTGGTTGCTCTCTTCCTTCCCCCTTCATATCCCCAGTTCAGCAGCCTGTAATTCTAGCACAGATAAATCCCATTCTCAGTGGGATTTTCACCTGAGGATTTCGTAACAGTGGTTTTGCAAGGCACATTTGTAGCAAACAAGTGCCAACCGTTCCTCCTCTCCACTGCAGGGTAATTGTGTTACAGTGAAAAGCTTTTAACTGTGAATCTGACTGGATTGCTCAACCCCCCAGGAGACATTCCTGAAACATGAATTTCAGTCTGGCATGCTGAACACACTGTTCCTACAGCTGCTGCAACTGCTGACCAGAGCCTCTGTAGTAAGAGATCACTTTAAGACAGCAGCAGCAAGGTGAGCCTGAGAGGGTGTGGGAGAAAATGGTGATGTTAAGTGACATTGGTTAAAACCTCCAGCATAGATTTAAAGAAGTGCTATAAGATGTAGCAATCCTATATACAAAAACACCATTTACTGACTGTCATTCTGCTGACTACAATTTCCTAACTGCATCACCATTCTGTTAATCGGAAAAATAGAATAAAAAGGACACATTTTACTTTTTCAGGTTAATTTAAAATATATTTAAAAAAATCAATTAAGTTCCATCCTGTCCTATAACATTTAGGGTGATGATCAACTTGGCATTAAAGATTGCCTTTTAATAACTGTCTGGTTCATACATTTACTTAATGAATATAAGTACGAGAAGGTGCTTATTATGGAGTTGCTGTCATAATTTTTATTCATTCTCATAGAATCACAGTGTTGGCACTAAGCTCCTGAGATCTTTTACTTTTTAATCTTGATTCCCTGTCCAATGGAGTTGAAGAGTCCTCACTACAAGTCCTGGTTTTCTTCTGGAAAATAACATCATTCTCTAATTTGAATGTATAAGGAAAGGACACAGAACTCAGATTCTTTTGATGGATATTGATTCCGATCAGCTTTTTATCTGATGCCAAATATTAAGTTCCCATTGTTCTTTCCCTAAACTGAATATACCATCTGGAAATTAGCTTTTTAAATGCTATTAACACAAGTTATGATGCCCTGTGTTCAGAACTCCTCTCTCCCTGCCTTTCTAAGAAAGCAGCTCTAGCAAACCACAGCAAACTTTCTTATTCTATCACCTGTGTACCAGAACATCTGTATGATCAACCTTTACTTCTCTTCAGAAAGAGGTAGGTACAAATCTAAACAAGCTAATAGGAGACAAGATACATAATAAGGTGATTCATCTCTCTTTGCTCAGCAGACTGAAAAGAAAAACCAAAGATTTCCAAAGCCTTATGACACACAGTCTATACCCTTCACTTCTGAGAATATTTCAAACAACAGCAATACTTGAGAAAATCCCTAGAACTGTTTAGCAGCATTTTTCATGTAATCAATTACAAGGATACTCAGGACTGAATATTGTTCAGACAAGGAAAACATTCTAAAGCACAGGATTTTGAAGCTGTACTGGAAATTAATGGATAGATAGGAACAGTTCCAATGCACTTACCCATCACTGTAAGGTCACAAACTACTAGAAGGTGTTCATCCAAGCTCATAGGAACACAGGAGTCCTAACAAGCTGAAAGAGAAAATGGGGAAAATGACAATTTGAAACTGGAGTCTACAAAAACAGTAGCTGAAATAGATTATAATAAGGGATCGAGTAATGGAGTCAAAAGCATGGGAAATACTCCGAAATAAAATTCCATGTGAAAGAAATATATTCTTCATAGCTAGACCGGAATCAACTTAGATTGCTATAGCTTTAGGAAGCTATTATAAGCATGCTGGGTTTTGCCTTGGTACTGTAACTCAAGGAGTACTCCCACCTATCATCTTTGCAAAGAAACATTAACACTGCACGTGTTTAGAAATGCACATAGTCTGCCATGGCATTTTTATTTCATACTTTTCTCTGAAAATAAAATCTCACTTTATTTGCTATTTACTTCAAAAGACATTCCAAGAACACAGTGTAGGTCCCGTGACAAGCTCATTTTGCACTGTTTCTTTTGCATGGTCCTAAACAGCTGTCATCTCTGGGGTACTGAATGTGATCTGAAGGTGTTTAACTGCATCCTCACCCAACTCAGCTGTGAGACTGAGCAGCACTTCTCCTCAGAGCTCTAACTACCATGAACAAGACATCCTTCACATGTGGGCCAAAAAGTAGCACATAGAGCTCCCAGCCTAGATGCAGGGACTCAGGCTACATGAGGTGTTGCAGTATAACTGCCAAGGTCTGTATTTCTTCAGAAACCACTTCGGGCATTAGAGCATATGTCAACACAGCAAGAGCTCCAGAATTTAAAAAACAATCTCTTCAAAGCTTTAACATAAAAGACAATTGGCTTTAGAAATTAGACTTTTTTTTTTAAGAAATGGGAACTTCTTACTGGATGGTCTGAAAGACATGAGAAATTGAAAAACGTGTTTCTCCACCTCCCTCCCTCTTTTCAAATAGGCTTAGGATATCAAGTACCTAAGTTCCAGGCTGTATCAGGAAATCTCCCAGAGCTCATGTTTCTGCTGTTTTCAAGCCTAGCAGGAGAGCCACCCACTTTTCCTCAAGACTGTTAATGGTCACAGGTACAGGCTGAGGGACACGAGCACACCCTGTCAGGTGCGACTGCTGCTGACCAGAAATGTAACTTGGTTCAGTTAGGAAGAAAACTTTAATTGGCCTGAAAATAAGTCTCTGAAAAGCTGCTGGACTGCAACCAAAGGGGAGGACAACAGCTTGAGGAGAACACTATGCTTATAATTCTTGCATTTCTCATTTGCACAGTTTACAGTTCTGAAAGTTCTGTGTCCTGTTGGCAGGCCTCTCTCCACATTCAACCAAGAAGCAGTCCATTTACTTTGCTTTTATTGAAGCCCTTTTTGCCTATGGGAACATTTAGCTAATAAAGGTAGCTGTTTCTAGTAACCATCATATTACGTACCTATACAATGTCATAGACAAAAAAAATAGGAAAGTTATCCTCACCCACATTTAAAAAACCAATACTGTGAATGGGAAGAGTTATGGTGATAAACTGTACCCTCCATACAAATGTGATTAATACATAATAAGGGAAAGACCTGTGTAAGGTTAATTGCAGTGCCTCTGGAACATGCATTATTCCAAAAGAAAACAGAATAGCCAAATGCCACTGAGTGAGAGCTGATCAAAATACATGTAGGTCAGCACTAATGCTGTGAGATTGTTCCCAGAACCCAGGCTAGATCAGGTATCTCATTCTACTGTCCAGTCTCTTAATTAGGCACTTGAAATATTAATTATTTAAATCCCTTTTTAACCAATAGTTGTAACAATTTTTTTTTCAGTGAAGCACAAAATGATACCTTTGTGTGATGGGTTTGAGTGACTCATTCAAGTGTTACAAGACGGGTTACTAAGTTATGCACAGATACAAGCCTGGATTCCTGGTATAGTGGTATGCTTATGAAGCTGTCCTTCTAAACTTCTAAGTAAAAAAACATTCAATTTTATGGCAAAAAAATGTAATAGCAAAACTTTTTTTTTTTTTTTAAAGTTGTTCCTTACCTTGCTCTCCAAATGAAACTATGAAAATCTTGTGCCTTAACACACAGCTATCAAACACTTCTACTAATTTTTGTTGTAGAGATGAACCAATTTCATAGTGTCTCTTCTCATTTTTATATATAACATACTGCAGATCAGTGAAATAAAGCAGGCCAAGTAAATCTGGACAATGAGAGTGGTGGGTGATGGAGAAGCAGATACCAGGTAAATTGTATTTCCGAGTCATGAATAACTGAAGCACCATTTCTGTGTTGCTTGGATACAGTTTGTTTAGTTGGTAATAGAATTCACTGAAAATATTTTAACTTCTACTCCTGACACCTACAAACATGTTCACTGTGATCTTATAAACTCAAATAGTATTAAATTAATACCTGATACACCTCTTCACAAGTGAGCAACAAATAGCAATGCCAAGTTGCAGAGTCAACACTAAACAATGCAATCGTGTACAACTAATTGCAAGAAGTCCTCACTGGTTATCCCATTTCTTCCTGTTAACACTGTTCTGCCATACACAGAGAAAACACAGCCAATATGCTCATCAGGCTGGCAGTCAGTCAGTACTAATGGCCTCACAAGGCTGGTGCTGACTTGAGACCAGTTCTAAATCTCTGCTCAGCCATCCCAGCTTACAGAAAAAGCAACTTTTCCTTCCAACCATACCAATGAGGGCAACGTGCAGAAGCCTGGCAGATGACTAATGCTCACCAAGTGTTGCAAGGTCTGAACTGAAGGAAATATGAAACCCTGTGACCCTTACTCAGAATAGTCAAACTGCATCTGCTCTGGAGCCCTGTATGGTAAGAATGCCTCCATTTTGTGCTGTGAACATGTCTGGAAGAAAGGTATGGGATAGAGATGACTTCAGTCTTGTTCATCTTGAGCTGCAGAATTGGCACTGAAAGATATCTATTCTTAATTCTACTGAGAGTTAAGAGATGAAGATAATGTTGGAATTAGATTGAGTTGAAGTAGCTGGTACACAGAAGATTTGTTTATACTGCCAGCTGAAGTAACTTACTAATTCAGAATATTTGCAAGAACTCAAAATCCAAATGGAATGAACAGACCATTGACAGCACACAGGCAAAAATGTATTATCAAAAGGGGTTGAATGACATATCATCTATCACACATTGGTAGTACTCAAGCATCTCTGACATTTTAAAAGTTCTGATACTATTTCACAATTCAAAGAGTTGCATTCAGCACAGCAGAGTTCTGAGATCATATTTTGAAAATCAAAAAGGGCCTAACCATCATGTTTAAAATTAGTTGTAGCTTATCTTCAAAGGTCACATTTACATTTTTATCTGTAAGCACAAACAGTGAGATTTAATTAAATAGTTAGTGAACTTGTGACTTAGACAAACAATTGCAAAAACATTCTCAAGCCTTCTTGGACTATGAGTCAAGTTCCACATAGTTTTGCATAATGAAATTATGACCTTATAAGCCATGATAAATTCAGTATATTTACTTAAAAATATTTTAGCCAGCAGTGGAAGCTCAGAAACTGCAACTACCACTATAGGTAACAGCGGATTAATCAGTGGCTGGTAGAGTCTTCTACAGCTAAATTTGTTATATTCACCATGGGAAACCATTATTAAACATATGTTAAAAACACCAGTGAAGATCACCACCAATTGCTCCTTTCACAAAGCAAGTCATTCCAAATCAGAGTCAGTACTCCTGAAGCCACATCTCTATACCCACAATGCAGGATGCATGAAATCTCACATACATTTCTTATCCTTAAATATCAATGTTTCTTCTACTATTCTGAATAAACAAGTAGTTCTATAAAGAAAATTGTTAAAGAGCAAGTATGCAGTATAGAGAATACTAAGAATTCACCATGATTTTTCAGTCTTAGTAGTTTCACCATTTCTTAACCTGATAGTTGACAATTTTTTTTTTGTTGGCATGGAAGTGATAATCATTGCACGCCACCTTTACAAGAAGGGTGCTTTTGGCTATAGTTAGAGATGACTGGTTCTTTTGTTAAGCAGTTTTTTGGGGGAAAATTTTGATTTCTACTAATATGCTTGCAATCATTGACAAGAAATTAGTTTACTGTCTCTGCCTTTTAGGTCTGGCTCTTATAAATTGGATAATAAGAGCAGACTTCTCATTGCTATTTTTATAGTGATAATACAATACCACCTGAAAATGAATTACAGAAAGTATAAGGGAAAATCCATGATCACATAAAGACTGCAGCATATGCACACTTGATTATCCTATTCCACTGAAATCCAAGGAATTCTACAAGACTCTAATGCTACAAACGTGTAGGAATTTTCAGAAATAAACACTAAATGTAAACTGGTTTGTCTTGTTTTAAAATGGTGTTAGATCTTTCTCAACACTTTAGAATAATAAAGTAACAGTGTCTGGCTTTCAATAATCTATCAGTGATCTCCATTTTTCTTGTTTTCCTCTTATTTGCAGAAGTGTAGTCTCACATTGAAAGACTTTGTAATCCTGCTTCTGGAGGTGGGAGGGAAGGTTGTTATTTTTTCCTCTGGTAATTACCAACTCATATTTTCCCAGTGACAGCCAGATCTCCCTTACCTCCAGCAAGCTATTGTTCAGTGACTTGTGAGCCAATAGCTGTATCTGTCTTCAAAAAAAACCTCTGATTTAATTTTATCTAATTTCTCCAGTCTAAGAAGATTTGCTATTTTCTTAGAAACTTAAAAAGCCTGGTTTCACAAATGAAGGGAGCTATTTTCAGATACTTTGTTTTGAAGAGGATTTCTGGAATTCTCAACTTAAAGCTTTCCAACACATTTCCCAGTCAGATGGTCTTTTCATTTCTGTTTTGATACATAGCTGTGCAGTTCATTTAGAAATATTTATTCGTCAGTCTAAAGCCAAATTTAATTATATTCATAGAGTGAAGAATAAAGGCCTGAACCATGTGCACTGGTGAATTCAATTCACTTTGCAAATTGTTTTTATGGTAATGTTGGAGAAGGTAGTACATACTTTGCAGTAGTAGGGACAGGGAAAACAAT